TTTTTGCTTCAGGCTGATTCTGGTACTTGCATTAGGATGAAAACGGGGATAGTATAAGCTTGAAGTTTATGTTGTGCTTGCTGTAACAGTTTTAAATTTTAGTAATTAGTCAGTCTTTTGAATGGTGGTTCTTAAAAATAGCTATTGTGTATGCAGGCTCTCTCCAGCAGTGACTGTTTTTGATGCTGTATTGTTTGGGATGACCCCTGAGTTGAACTCTCTGAAACTCAAATGTCTAATGTTCTTCATCAGGCTATGGTCTATAGATCCATTACAATGGAACTGTAGCCTGCGTACAGCTTGGGAGCAAAACCAGACCTGTCTGTCACTGGCAATAGGGGAATACCACAAGCGCTTAAGTTCGACTAGTGTCATTCTGCCTTGATTGTGGCAGTCAAGATTTAAACAGATCTCTGTGCTGGGGAAAAGTCTCCCTTTTTTTAAGGAAGAAAAACTGTTTAACTTATTTAGCTAAAAAAATTGTTTTAGTATCTTTATTTTGTTATCGGTAGTTTTCCAGAATGTTCATTTTCCTTACTTTGTTCTGTTTGCTCTCCTTTGATACTTATTATTAGTTTCTGACTCACAGCCTTTGTGGATTTCAGATGAGAAAGCAAAAGAAAAGCAGAATGATTCACTTTCCATTATTACCTTTACTTTGTTAAGGACCTTTTCCTTCTCTTGGATCATCCCAAGTAGATACCGACTCAAATTTGATTTAAAAAGTCCCATTCAGAGGTGAAAGATAAGCGGACACTGTTTTAGCAGTCCAAACAGGACTGGATTGACTTACTTCCATTCTCTTGGTCAGGAAAACACTGAAGTGGACTAAAAAACATGATGGAATATGTGGAAACATCTTCCATGCATATCCTGCCTCATGCACTTTTTGAAATCCCAAAGAACAAAAAGAGTGGGTAAATCAGTAGGTCTAACAAAAACAGTGTTGCAATTAAGTCTTCACAGCTCTGATTATAAAACTTATCATCGTCTTTCATCTTTAAATCGCGGCTCAATGGAAAGTGACCTTCGAAATCACTGCCTTTGTCTTCTCTCATGCCATATATACTATAGGTTTTTCTCCAAAAGGTTTCCTGATCCTTTTCCGGGGTTTGGAATACTGGCAGAGAAAACATGTACGTGCTTGAGCTGTATACAACATTATGGTATAGAGGAAAGATGCTTTTGGTCTTACAGGGATTGTCTTCACAGCCCTTACTTCTTTCCTGGATGACTGTTCTCTGCAAGTGGTCTAGTGCGTATAGAATGTCTGACTACCTGTGTTTCTTAGGCTGTAAAAATTAGTGGCCTGCGACTTTGTACCCTAAAGTGATGAGGCTATGTTGCGTTTGCATAGGAGGGTTTATTTCATACTGCTACAGGTTGATTAATTTTAGGGTTTTTTTTTCCAACTGAGTTTAGAGAAATTAGTCAGATTTCATGCTTGTGAACTGAAGAAACCGCACATGCATGCCCTTCACAAAACTCCTACTGGGCTATGTATTCTAGTTGTCTTCTCACTTAAGACCAGGCCGTAAAAGAAGGGCGATCTTGAGATAAGTACACTCAAAACCCACTCTTATTCTGTACTTACGGTCTCCAGATCTATACCGCTCCTTATTTGAAAGTTGACTTATGTCCTTCTGTGGGATTTTTGAAACTGGTACCAATGCTGTCAGTGGATATAGAAACATGGACTGGCTGTAAATTGCTTGAAAGTTTGAGTTCCTAGTTTAAAAAAAACTCCTTATTTTTGGTACTTCTCAACTGTGAGAAAGTTAGGGTTATTTATCCGTTTGAAGTGATCTGAGGCAGCTATTGTATGAGTAGTATATTTGCAGCGCTTTGCCATCCTTGGTTAAGCAACTTCCTGTTGGAACTACTGATCTGCATAATGTTACCATATTCAACACAAGTGGTCAGGCTGTGTGCCATCTCGCATATATTTGAAACTTCTCCTTAACACTGATTTTGGGCAATCTGTATTTCAATAACTCTAGAACTCTGGTATGTGGGGTCAGATTAAATTATTTCTTCAAATCCCCTTTTTCATCCTGTTGGTTAAGTTTGCTTTCATAACACAATTTTAAGGATGTCACTTTCGGGAATAATTTTTGGTTTAAGCATCAGCTGAGAAGGAAGGGATGTCAATCTATTGTGGACCTGGCTTCGTGGAAAAATTGGGATTGCTTGCAACGCATTTTACACTTAAAGCTATGCCAGTTTTCTAGAGGGATCCTAAAACTACTCTTATGACTAGTTTGCAGCTAGTGGCTGTTAACACTATTGGGACTGGTAGCTTCAGCTCAGTGCTAGCTGCAATTTTGGGAAGTTTCTGCTGAACAAGTGAAACAATCTCTTTGGGAAAGAAAGCAGTATTGAACAGATTCAAAGCCAGATCTGTATGCTTCTGTTGGCCACCTTTGCTTTATTTGGTAGTCACAGATGGTGAATTTACATGACAAGAAAGGAACGGAAGTTACTTTTTGGAGGGGAAAAAGGTGGGGAGGGGAGAAGGATGATAGAAAGAGGTGTAATGTTCGGGAATATAGGAAGGGAAGAAAATAAAAATAGCGGGCACACAGAAAAACTTTACATAGCAGGAAAGAGCTGTTACAGCTTTTTGCAGGGAGAAGTCATGCCTTGCAAGTTACTAGTTTTTTTTTTTTTTTTTTTTTGAAATATTAAAAATAGGGTATGGTATTTTACATCACATTTAAGAAGCCTGAACTGATGTATTTTAATTAAAGTAAAATCCTGTTGTCAAGGGCTCTAAAACTAGAATGTTTTAAGGAAAAAGATTTTTTGGGGGGTTAATTTTGAAAACAAAAGCCTAAGAATAATTGCTCAGTTTTAATAACAGGAGGAGACAAGTTGATCAGGGGATTTCTAAGGGATCTCTTCTTGGAATATGATATTTTCATAAATGTTACCTTACCTTTATCTGTCCCTTTTTCAGATCAGAGTTTGCTGATGATGCTAAATTACTCAGAGTAGTTAAAACTAAAGCTTAACATGCAAAGTATTGCAAAGGGAATCTGTTACTGTGGCTAAGCCATGAAATTTGCCATTGACAAATACAGAGGAATGCAGATGGTGGGTGAGGAAAAAAAAATCTAAACAAGGCAAATAAACAAAGAGATCTGAAAATCATCATAGATGTCACAGAAAAAATTGCTGGCTCAATAGTGATTAAAAAAGATGCAGGTAACGTGAGAAACTGGTAGCAAAGTCTTTGAGAACAAATGAGAACACATGCTAATGATACCACATTTTGAATAATAATGCAGTTCTTGTTTCATCCATCTCAAACTAGCAGGACAAGAACAGATATGTAAAAAGATTTCAGTTGTGGTCAGAAAGATGGAACAGCACCCATACTTGTGAAAGCAGAATGCTTTGGCACAGAAAATAAACAAGAGGCTTGGGGAGAAAAGGGATGTGATTCAAGTCTATAAAATCATAAATATTATGTGGAAGTGAATGAGAAATTATTATTTCTGTTTCTTTAAAATAACTTCATTGGATGTTACTTGCACTTTACTCAGAATAATATTTAAAGACAGCTATTTAAAAATTGCTACTACATACGGGACTACATTAGCAAAGGTATAGCTTTCAAGTGAGTAGAAGTGATTCTTCCCCTCTGTGCACTTGCATCTGGATTACTGTGCCCAGTTTGAGGCTCATCCCAGATACTAACACACTGGAGAAAATCCAGTGGAGGGCCTCCAAGATGGTTAGAAAGCTTAAGCACGTGATAGAGGCTGAGTGAGTTGAGTTTCTTCGGTTTTAGGAAAAGAAAGGTAGAGTTATTGCTGGTTTAAGTGACCAGATGGGGAGCACAGAAAAGGAGGAGCCAGCATCTTCTCAAGTGTACAGCTGGTAAGGACAAGAGGCAATAGGCAAAAATTTCAATACCAGCAATTTTGATGAGATGTTGGGATTTTTCTTTTCCTCCACAGAGAAAATATTAATTGGACAGTAGAAAAATTGTTCAGAGAGGCAGCAGAATCTCCGTCCCTTAAAAACATCCATTAAAAACTCAGCTGGACCAGACCATGACCAATCTGATTTGAGTAGGCCCTGTTTGAGCAGGGGATTGGACCTACTGACCTCCTGAGGTCCTTTCCAAAATAAACTTTTCTGTGACTTGATGGAACAAAATAATTTTAGGATTCTAAAAGGCTGTGAACAAACGTATGGAAAGAAAGGTATGTCAGCGACTGCGTGACGTGTTGATTCAGGGACAACTTGCAGTCATCTCTACACTTGTACTTTTTTGGGGGGAGTGGGGGTGCGCAGTTTGATATTTAGCTTAAGCCAAGATACAGAGCAGAACTGCTGACAAAAAATGGCTGACCTCTCTGGAAACTTTAAAAAAAAAAAAACAAAAAACAAAAAAACCCCACAAAACACCCCCCCTCCCCAGTAAAAACATACGCGCACACACACGTGCACACCCCCTCCCCCAACCAAAACAAGTCCCACATCCCCTAAACGTGTTAGTTTAGACTGTACAAGCCACAGAAACACTGCTGGAGCTAAAAGTAAGTGTGGGAATGCCTTAAACCTTTTGTAAAACTTCTCTTCTGTGTCCTTTTTAAGGATCTAGCATTAATGGTGGATGCTGGGCTAGATATGTCTCTGATCTGACACAACATGCTTTTTTTTTTTTTTTTGCATTTCTGGAGAATGAAAATAATGAATGGCTGCTTGATGCAGTTTGAAAATAACTGTTAATCACAGGAGAATTAATCTTCTGGCAAGTCAGTGACTGGGAAAATTTTCCAGCTCTCCCTTTCCTTGGTAGCATCTGCAATAAGTTATACTGTAGAATTATGATGACTACTTCCTTACTATAAATTTATTATAGTTTAGGTGATGAACCAGTGTAAACAATGCTACGTTTCCATTAAATCATCTTTTCAACATGTCTGAATACATCTGAAACAGAAATTGTGCAACAAATACCAACTTTCTCTTTTTATCCTACAGCATAAGCAGCACTATTATGGATGTAGACAGCACAATTTCCAGTGGGCGTTCAACTCCAGTTATGATGAATGGACAAGGAGTTCCTGCCTCCTCTACAAAAAGCATTGCTTATAACTGTTGTTGGGACCACTGCCATGCTTGCTTCAGCTCCAGCCCAGATTTGGCAGATCACATTCGCTCCATACATGTGGATGGTCAGCGAGGAGGGGTTGGTATTACTTTTTTATCTTCTTTCCTGCTTCCTTTGTTCCCAGCACTCCATTCTTCAATGAGAGAGGCAAATTTTATGTTTTAAAGTATCAGCTCTGTATTTAGTGGTAACTAGGAGTAGGCCTTCAGCAGCCTGGCGTTAGGCATTCAGCTGTTGTTTTACACTGTCCACTTGATTTGGTGTCATGTGTTTTTTGACTGAATGGCTGACTTTAGACACATGATAAACTCTTCTTAATAAGTCATTTGAAGCTCTGATAGAGGTGCTAATCTCTCAGCATCCTGAAGTTGTTGGTGTGTCTTTAAGTGTTTATAGTTGGCATTCATTTCCTTAAAATCATTTGCATACATGTAACTGCATGTAAATTGAGGAAAAGTCACATCTTGATAATATTCACAAATGGAATCGTATTAGGGATAAAATGTGTGTATATACATACATAAAATAGGGCAGATGTAAGACTGGTTATCTTGGGAGTTCAAACTGAAACAGCTGCTTGCAGTTCTGCTGATGTTTGGAAGTCATATCTTCAGCATACATTGCTTTTAGGCTTTTTTTTTTTTTTTGAAATATGAATAATGATGTATACATTTCAGTTTTAATCTAATCCCAAGTCAAACGATGCAGTTTTTGTTGGTCTCAAAATTTTGATGTTTCAAAACAGTTCCCAGTAATGTAATTTCAACTTTGTATTTTCCTTAAAAACAAAAACAATCTCCCCATGAAAGCCTCCCAAACTTCCTTTGATGCCTAGAATATTTTAAAGTAAACTAGCTTTACATCAAACACAAGCAATCTATCAGCTTCATAATGGGCGTACAGTGTCATACGTTGCATCCCTTTCATTTCTTGGAGAGGTAACGTCAAATTTTAGCCTAGAGTAGTCATTATCTTTGACTCTTTGTCCCACCACTTCCTTAGAAATGGAATATTAGACAACTAACTTTTATCTGACGTGCGTAAGAAATTTAAACAAAATACAGATTTGCATAACTTTAACTTATTGTGTCATTTTGTCACTGAGATGGGCATGACTCAGTGGTTGTATTATATTAGGTAATGTTTTTTAGTATGATGGAACTTCCAGCTTGGCATTTGATGACTTTTTTTTTCCGCAGGCAGAATTATCCAGCCAGTAACTATCAGTGAGATAAATTTGTGTGGTTCTTTTCAATGATTTCTAAAAATACTATTTGATCATGGATGAAAGAATTAAGTAGATGAGGTGTATCAGTATCCTGTGGACTTTTGCATAAATGCATCTCTTGTAACGCCTGTGGTATCCCATCGTTGTCTCCTTTTGAGTCCTTAGAAAAGGACTATACAATTTTTCAGGTGTGGGTGTGATTTTTTTTTTTTTTTTTATTCACTTACATTACATATGACATGATTGGAAGAAATTTTTGTTTATAAGATGTTAGACTGCAGTTATCTTTCTGAAGGAGAAGGTTACTGGAAGCACCAAGCATCTGACCTTTGCATTCAATTTGCACATCTTTTATCTGTCCTGCTAAGGTTGATTTATTGATTTATTTATTTATTTTAAAAAAAGTTCTCTAAAATGATACTTGGGAAGGATGTTGACACTGGCTGTTTTGTTTCAAGGACTTGTCTGCCACCTACTGGCGAGGTGTTTAAGTGGAGTTAGAAATTGTGTTTTTGGCTGGATTTGAGATAGTACTCATCTACAATAACTATAAATCTGAAGAAGAGTAGTATTAGTAACTACTTTTTGAGAACTTAAAAACAATGAGATAAGCATCCTTGTATGGTAAAATGTATATATTTTTTTCAAGCTAATACTGAGATAATAGTTCTATAGCAAACCAGAGAGCTCCATGAAAAGCCCAGGAAATTTTTTGACAAAATAGTTTTACTTAAAAAAAAAAAAAAAAAATTCTGTCAGAAATATTTTGGGTTCAGTCATTAGTCAAGATTTCCCAGGGAGCCTTACCTGGACTTCTGATGTAAAAGTGCTTGTTTTTTGATTTTGAGGGGACTACATTTCTGTAATTTGTTATTTCATAGTAGTTCTCCTTTACTGAGTGCTCTGCAGTCTATAGTTGATGATTAAAACCTTGGAAAGATAAGAGCACTGTTGGAGGGCCAGGAACCTCCAAATCTCCAGTTCTGTGGCTGCTGGTGGGTGAGGAATTGCAACGCTGAGCAGCAGCAAACACCAAAAGGCCTGGGAGCTGGACTTCATGGCCCAATGAATCTGGATCAGCTGGACAGGCATGCCGGGTTTCCAGCTCTTCATCAGTAAGCTGGGGTAACTCTGTGCAACCTAGCAAGTACATAGCATGCCGGTGGCTGCTCTTCTGTTTTGAAAATACTATCTTTTGAAAGTTCAAATTTTTTAATTTCTGAAAGAGAAAAAACTTGAATCCATTTAGTTTCCTGTAGTTCTGAAATCCTCTATTTTGAACAACTCTGGAAACTGTATTCTGCTGTAGATACTAGGGTTATATATTAGGTTTCTTCGCACACAGACCTGCTGAGGAAATTCTAATGAAAGCACAGTTCATTGAGCCTTTTTTGTTTTCTAGGTTATAGATAGACAATATGAGAGGAGAGAAAAGCAGCATGTGTAAGTTCTACTCCCTTCATGCACTATTGTGCATGTGACTGATCTGTACACTGGAATCATATAAAACAAACAAACCAACCAGATTTTTAATCCCATAATAAAATTGTGACTTTCTTCATCAGGATATGAGCATAAGGTACTAATTTTGAGTGTCCAGTTTTCTCTAATACAAATCTTTTAAAATATAGATGTTTAGATATATGGAAAAGGTTGACCTTTGTCATCTTGAAAGAATATAATTATTACTTGGTTATGAGATTAAATCCTTTCTTCCTTTCTGTCATTGCTATCTAGGAAGTGTAAATTTGTCACTTTTAATTTTTCTGTCTAAATACCTAGCGATTAAAGAGTTTATTTTCCAGTGTATCTACAGTGGATCCTGGAGTATGTTTATCTGGAGGAGCATTTAGATTTTGATATTTTGTACCAGCAACCTGCTTTTTTGAATACTTGTGGCTGTTATTTTCCCTGATGAGATATGAGAAGTGTGTTTAAAAATAAATTATTGTTGTCTCACAATTCTTTGAACTGCTTTGTATGGTAGTAACAGGCTTCTTTAACCTGATTTTGAACAATTTTTTACTGTTGTTTAGAGTTACCTTTAAACTAATCACATTTTTACTTTATTAGGTATTTGTTTGCTTGTGGAAAGGTTGCAAAGTATATAATACACCTTCAACAAGTCAAAGTTGGTTGCAGAGGCATATGCTGACACACAGTGGGGACAAACCTTTCAAGGTAAGGTTCATTGTAAAATGTGTCATCCTTATTTTTGAGAATGATAGCTTTTTTTTTTTTTTTCCCCCTGATAGAATGTAATAATCGTAATGCTGATACAGGAGATTCTCCTAGAAATATCAAGTGAGCTGAGCTTTGGTCTTGCAGCAGTAGTGCCCAAAGATCCTATTCTCTTACGAAAACAGCTGAAGGTACTATTATTGCTTCTCCCTGTTCCTTTTAGCCTATAAGTGGTAGAGGAGTCTAAAACTGAGTAATCCTGTCTGAAGTTCAGTTTTTGTGTGCATTTTCCAGTTGAACTGTTTGCACTGTAACAATGAGATATTTTGCCTCATTCTTTACACTTCCACATTAATGTCTGGATCATACCTGATGGTGCACACTCTGTGCTTAGATAAAAGCCGTTTCTGTTAAACAGAGTTCAGTTGAAACATAGTCAATGACTATTTATGATTAACCTCTCTGAAAATAATAAGGAAGTCAGGAATGCAGGACCACTGAGCTGACTGTATTTCCTGCATAGTATTTTCTAACTTTCTCTTTCTTTCTCCCCCCCTAATCTGTACCTGCAATTCTAGGTATAGTAGTGTTTATCATTCCCATATCCACCAATCCGTTATTAATGAGTTGCTTCATGCTCTTATGGATACAGTTGGGGCAGTTCATAGCTGTCAGTCCTGGATCACTTGATGGTAAGTCCCACCCACGCTACTTCAGACTGAAGTTCTCCTTCCATATAGGATTTGAAAATCAATTAGGGTTTTTCTTAAATTTAGGTAGCATTTCATCCACCTCTTCTTTTAATCACTTTTTCTCCACATTCCTTTCCTCCCCCCACCCTGGGTAATATGTTCTGCTTTTTTATTTTAAGACAGTGTTATTACTGGAAACATATTTTTTTGTTACAGTCACCTATTCCAGGACTTGCTTCTTCTGCACAGCTTATAACTGTAGTTATGACAGAAAACAAAACTACGCTTAAAGCCTAGAGAGTAAAATCCTGCTGTGCAGGTGAAAAACGTTTTTTCTTTTTCAATGAAGATTAAACTATATTTTTCCATACCAAATACTTTTCTCTTTTTTCCATTCTAAACTGCATAGTTTATTGTGACTGAGAGAGCGAGTGGCAAGGGAAAACTTGTTCTTCAGGTTATCATACCCTTTGTTCAAAGGCATAAGGTTAGCATGCTCTTAGAAGCATAGCATAAGGATCATAGATCCCTGAAAATTTGAGAAATTGATTGTTGCAGTAACTGGTCTTATCTTAAATGGTAATCCCTGAATCAAATTAAAAAATGAGTCATCAGAAACTTGTCCCTTGTCTCATCCTTGAATTAAATATTTAATGTGCCTTAAAATATAATGGCAGGCTTTTGTTTGAAGTCCTCCAGTAGGGTAGTTTGTAGGCTTATTTTGGTCTGACTCAGAGTTGATAATGATTCTCTGCTAATTCTTAATTGCTATTTAAATGTCTGTTACTGGAGTATTGCTCTGTTCAGATTAAGTATTTACCATGCCGCAACTTTGAAGTCAGTAGGCAAGCTGTCAAAAGATGTGACTCTTCAGGTATAATATTGTCATAAAGGATGGAAGCTTAACCTGTGAAAGAATAGATGAGAAGTGGTTATGAGTTCAATTGTAGAGACAGTGGCTTTGAAAGAGGAGGGCATATCTCAGAAGTACCTCTGGTGCTTTTGAGTGCTAGAGTTACCTAGCAAAGTCAGCAAAAGCTGGTATCCCAGTTTTTTCGGACTAGACAGAGCTCTAAAATTGCGAACCGTTATGTCTAAGAGTAAGCATCTTGTGTTAAACGTGCTTATTTTATCAGCTCACTTTCTGCACTTTCAGATCATAATAAGGGAAAGGATACATCACAGGCTGGGACTGCAGTACTTTAACATCATGGCTCGATGCGTGTCACTTCAGCATTTCTTCCTACTGTCTTCAGATCTCTCTGTTTTTATCTCTGTATTTTTTTAATCTGGTCCTGGGAGCTTTGAGACCTTCCCTTCTGTTCAGGATATTTTTGAAAAAGGCAAATAATATTAGCTAGGAAAGTGGCAATCAGGAGCATGGAAAATACACTTTTGAAAAGGTACAAAAAAGCTGGAATTGTTTAATGTAGAGAAGAGATTACTAAATATACAGGAGGTTTCTATATTCTTATATATCTCTATTCAAAATAAGGGGCAAAGATATTTTATTAAATTGAAAGTCAGTAAGGGACTGTCTGAGACATAAAGCTCTTTTGCAAGAGAATTACTCTGAAGGATGTGTCCCTGTCCTGTCTCCCTTCTGCTTGTAGATGGATTCATTTTATGTAGTTGCCCATTTTGGGTTTAATACTGTATTTTTAAGAAGCATGTGAAGCCCTTTGATTACAAACAACTGTGCATACCAGTTAAAAGGTCCTTGTGGGTATACCTGCCCTTTTCACACAGGTAAATTAAGTTTTGTAACTGTAGTTCATTTGTCACTGGAATGAACTCACTTCTAAATTATGAAGGCAATTGTTTCGTATTCTCACAAGTTTTTCCTGTGCTTTCTGTTTGTGTGATTTAGTGTCCCCTTCAGTGTTGATATTCTGTGTCACAGAAAAGGTAAATTTGTTTATGAATACTTATTTCTGAGCCCATTGATACATTAGCTCTCTTTCTATGTGAGTCTGTTTTCTAGTAGTGTGAGTTCAGACATTTTGTAACTGACTCGTCTATTAAACTAAGGGGAAAAATGACACTCTAGACCTCGACCAGAATTTTGGACCTCATTAGCTATTGTCAGATTACCCTCCCACTTGTGCCCTCCCTTCTCTTAAGTCTTTAATACTGATGGCCTTGGGCTTTGTGTAGCACAAAAGGACTTTTTTTTTTGAGGCCATCATCACTAAATTTGTTTTATTCAGAAAATACCTTTTCCTAGTGCACCCAGCAATCCCCCCAAAAACAGGGGGGAAAAAGTCCCTTGAGAGCCAGTTCTCAGTCTGTAGTCAAATATTATTCCTGCAAAACAATTTGCTTTTCTTGTCATACTTTTTTAAGCACTGTTTCTTAAGTTTGTTTTCGTTTTCAAGAGGGGAGAAAATAGGTCTTCCAGAATGTGTTTCTTGTCTGAGAGTGTACTCAACTTTCTTTGGCTTGCAGTTAGGTGTTTTTGAAGTTTTGCTTCTCCTCTTAGCACCTAGAGTTCATTGCTCTTGTGCTGTTGGAAGTTTTCCCTTTCTTTATAGCAGTAGGTTCTAGCTATCCCTTCAGCTTTTTTGCCGTTGCAGGCATTGATTTAATATGGGTTTTTTTAGAGCGTACAATTGTCTGAAGACTTAGTGTGTTTGTGTATGATCTTACATGTAGAGCTGAGAGTTATAAAACTTCTGTTATTCTTTCCTAGTTCTCTTATAGAAATTAAGTTTTGTAGCTTTTTAGAAACTGATGAACATCGTGGAGTGTCATCAGCATGTAGTAGTGGTCCTTTCTAGAGTTCCACAGCTGAAAACTTTCAGGGTTTCAGAACATATTCCTCTAGTTTCATCCGCCTATAATCTGTTGAGTTAGAAAACTGATGCAGATAACTGATCTTTGGCCAGTTGAGCAAGAATTTCTTCTTCTTCTTCCACTTAAGTATTTTTATTGTCTTAAACTTGCCTGTTATGAATAATAAATAATTGAGTAGTTAATATGGTGTGATACCCTGCATTTTTCAGCATGATTTCTGATACTTTAGAAAGATTTGAAGCACTATTTGCTATGCCTTGTTGCCACAGAAGGCATTGAAAGTTACCTGAAGCCATACCAAAATAAACTCTTACATGTAATGCAGTTGACCAAATACAAGGCCTTAGCTAAAATGAAAGGACAAATGATAAAGCAGAGTTGGCTCAAAACTGAGGATGATTTTCTGCAAAAAAACCTGCATGTAAAAGTTCTCTTCAAATACAAGATTGCATTTGGTATGCCGCCAGCTGCTTTCACATAGTGGTTCCAGTGAGTATGCTCTTAATGTTTGAGATGGGTCATGCAGGGTTTGCTCATGTGTGGTAAATATTTCCCATAACAATGAATGACAGTGTACAGATTTATCAGAGGCTTTTATCCTTTGTTTTTTAAAAAATAAAAAAGTAATGATAAAAATGAGATTTGGTGCTCATTTTATTCTCTGTAACTTCCAGAATTCATTAAGAGATGAGTGCACTTCATATGATTCTCAATAGAGTAACATTTGTTGAAACCTAGAAAACAGCCAAGCAGCTTCAGAACTCATTTGGAATTTATATCAATTATTCTTTTGGCAGAATATCTTCTATCCATTAGAGCATTGCAGATGCAGATAGAAAATGTAAAGGCATTCTGTCTGGACAGTCAGAAGATAAGACAATAAGAAGGTTTATTCAGATGTCTGAGATATTACTATTGGATTTATTATTGGAAAAATTACACATTGAATATTCTAAAAAGGAGATTTGATTATTTTTAATTTAATAGAAGATACCTGTATTGCTAGATATTTTATATCCTGTCTACTAAAGTCACTGGTCATTACTGCCCATAATAATGGTGGGTATGGGTACACTGGAGAAATTAAACTTCTTACATGCTAACTTATTTTCTCTTGAAGTAACATATCCACCAATCCGGACCCAAACTATCATATTTAAAATTAAATGCAAAATTTTGAGATTTAAGTTGCTGGGAAAAATGAAGAGATTGATTTTAAGTTATGCATAATAGTTGAGTTTGATTTATTAGAAGCCCTCTAGATCTGTGTAATTATCTGGTGGGAAGCTGATTTGGTGTGACTTACCGTCCAGAGATCCTGAAGTGACAGCCTGAACTGCTCCCTTATCTTTGGAGAGAAGAGACTTAACCCATTAGTAACGGATTGCTGGATATATTATTTTAGAGAAAAAAAAAAAAAAGAAAAAACAGGTAAGATTTTACTCCTCTTCTGCTATTTCCTGTCCACTACAAAGGTATTCTCTATCATCTTTGATGTATCGATTGTTGATTATTTGATGACATGACCAGGTAGTCTCAAACTACCCGATATCTGAATGCAACGATCTTTGCAAATATTTTATACCTTGGCTGCAGACTGTAAATAGGCTTCTTAAATAATTTCTAATTGCCAGTTGTATGCATTGAGGATTTAAGAATGCTGGTTTAGTGCTTTTTAAAGTAAAACTTGCATAGAGCAAGAAAAGTAAGTGCTAGCTGTAGTGAAGGCTCTATTGAATATCTGTAATTGTACTTTCTCTGTACATGGCTGGACAAATGTAAAGTTATGACATTATGAGCCAAACTGCAGTTAGTCATAAAATCATTTTTCCCATCTGACAAGAAATACTGCAAGGTCTTATGGACCTAAAACCAAACGTTTTAGAAATTTTTAGAAATGTGCCTGACAACGTTTATGTATTACTTTCAGAAGGTATTGTCTTTTGACGTTATACTTTAATAAAATTCTAATATCGTAATGCAGGCACTGTACTAAGACTTTAAGATTATTTTTGACTTCTAGTAGGCGTTGGCAAAACTGAAACTTAAAATTGCATAGTGAGTTTGGTTGAACTTCACGGCAAGATTTTTCTGTGCTCAGTATTTTTTTTGTTTGTGCTTGTGGGACTGGAAAGAGTTGGAAACTTAAGTCAATAGCACCTTAATGAAAATTAAATCTAAGTTTTGATGTAGTTGCTTAGTTTAGTTTCATGAAACTGCTTTTTCTGTGCAAGGTATCAGATTTGAGGGACTTCAAAACTGGAGAATAAGAAATTGGTCAAACTAATATGTCTGTGCATTTTATATTTATCTATGTTGATTGTGTGCTTGATTACATCTTTAGTAGAACTAAGTTTAAATTTTGATCTTCAGTATTAATTTAGAGTAATTAATATTGCACTGAAGTTACCATAGAGTAAATGAAATCAGGATCTTGAGTGTTGTTTTGAATTTGATAGATGTTGTAGATTTTTAATAGTGTAAGTCACTACAGTATAAGTGTACAATATTGCAGTTTTTGAAATTGGGGAATAACAGGGCAAGATAGAGAGATGTAGATAGGGTTTTGGTAAGACTCTTCAATTCCTAAAATGCTAGTGGATGCAGGGAAGGTGCAAGGGGGGGCAATAAATACAGAGTATGGAGGAGGAACAAATACACAGTATGAAGAATCCTAAAGCTTTTTATCAGACAAGTATATGTTTCTAGTCAGATGAATGCTTAGAAAGCTTTCTTTAAGCTTACTAAAAAAAATAAAAACAGGCAAATAAAAATGTTAAAAATGTCCTCCTGGTTTTTATTTTTATTGTCTTAAAATATATTTGTTTGTTTGTTTGTTTAATTTTAGTGCTGAAGCAAATTATGTCCTCCGGGATAACATAGCCTTTCTTTTATGGGGAATATACTCCCTTTTTGCATGACCAGGGAAAATCATTTACTTGCTTTGAGGCCAAAATAGGCTGTTTGGTTCTTCTGCAGCCAAAGTAGAAAATAACACAGTTGGATATATAGGGACAAAACATGCTGAGTGGTGTTTTACTGCTGTTTTCTTGCCTCTCGGTCAAATGTGCAGGCCTGGGGTAAATTACTGTAAGAGCTTCAAATTCTTCCTTAGACTTTAGAGAACTTAATGTTATGTACATAGTTGCAGCATTACTTACTTCCAAATTCATGCGGCAGCTATTTCATCAGTTTGGTGTGAAAGGGGGTTCTAGAGAGGAGCGATATAGATAAAGGAGCTGGGAAGGAGGGAGAGGAGGGGGAAGCAGAACAGAGTTGGAAGAAGGAGAAGTTTCAGATGGTTCAGAATGATGTTTGCTGCTAGCTGGTCAGTTCACAGGAGAAGAAAAGTGAATCACTTGCATATGCAAATCATTGCAGTCTATGGTAGACTGAAAGTCTTAAAATCATTTTTATATTACTCTTATAAGTTCAGAGCACAGGAGAAGAGTTTTACCTCCCTCCCCAACGGTGGAACTTGAATTCTCATTTTGTAAATTAGGTAATTGTAAATATAAGCCAAATGCTTTAAAAAAAAATACTAATAATTACTGTAGTCAGTACGAGCTTAGAGGCCTGTGTGTATCTTGTGATTTCTGTGTTTCCAACCAGATATTATTGGATCTTTTCTTATTTTTCTGTTTGAGAGAAATAGGCCGTTCTCTTTGGAGTAAGAACTTTCTTACATGCTTGTGAAGTAATAGCAACATCCCAAAATAAACGTATAGATAACTGTTAATGCAACTTGAACGCCAGTAACTTAAAAAGAATCTCAAGATAATCTTTTATTAGCTTTGTTAGAGCATTTATAGAAACTATTAAGCTGTGTCAAATTTACTGTGGATAAGGATGTATTTCTAATTACAAAGTTTACTTCCCCTTTACCACAAGAAGGGGTAGAAGAGGAAGTGGGTAGAGAACACTGTTGTTGTCAGATACAGAAGACTGGAGTGCTGTTGAGAAATACAGAGTAACAGCGTTTTGAAAGGCAAGGAGGTGAAGTTGGTCTGTAAAGGAGAAAGTTCTTGAGATGGATTTGTTTTTCTGTGGAAAGAGTTTGTCAGTGCATTGTTTAAAATTGGTCTTATGCTATACAATGTTATCCAGCATAGATGGAGGTGATTATTCCACCGGACGATTGTTATGAGCTAATACAAATTCCGGTAGAAGTTTATTTCAGGTAATATTCCTGTTTTTCTTTTTTAGAATTCCATGGTCATTAGGGACTTATCTTCCTTTTAGTGCGTTGGAAGTTAAGCCAGAAAAGGCAAACTGAAAGATCTGACGGTCATGTGAATGTGTGCTGCATAACACACTGACACCTGCTTTTGTTTTTTTCTTTTTTTTTTTTTTCTTTCTTTCCTCTCCTCTCCTTAGTGTGTAGTTGGTGGGTGCAATGCCAGCTTTGCATCTCAGGGAGGACTTGCCCGTCACGTGCCCACACACTTCAGCCAGCAGAACTCTTCAAAAGTTACCAGCCAGCCAAAGGCCAAAGAGGAATCTCCATCTAAAGCTGGAATGAATAAAAGAAGAAAGTTAAAGAACAAAAGACGACGATCATTACGTAGGTATTTCCAAAAGAAGAATTTCTTGAAAGTTCTGCAGTGTTAGAACTTGCAAAACTTTTTAATAGCTTCATTCTGTTTTTTTCTTTTAACCATTTTCTGTGGCCATAGTATCTTTTTTCAAGCTGCCTCTGGTTAAGAGATACTTTCACAGAAAAATGAGATATGCTTGAAAAACACTTTCCAAGCAGAAGAGGAATATAAAAATATAAATGTGTAGGTGAAATAATTTTTATAAGGTAATTCTTATTCTTGCAAGTTTCAAGAGCTGGTTTAGGTCAAAACGTAATAGTTAAAAAAACAAAAAAACATCTTTGTGTACTTCAGTCCTTCGTTGTGGATGTTTTGTGGATGGAAATGCTTGTTTCTCTACAAATGTGGGTCTGATGGGGTTATTGATTTTTGGCAGTGAGGTATCGGCATCTGTTGTAATGGCAAAAAAACAGCTCTAGATTCTGTTTGTGTTCCTTTTTTAGGGCAAGCAGCTATGTGTTTTGTAGAAAAGTTGGGTTTCTGTGAGCAACAGTTTGAGTTCCCAATTTAACGTTGCTTTTCATTTTAGGAATGACCTTTTGTATCCTAACTATATTACTATTGGAAAATGTTCTATTTAGTTGTCAGAAGATCTGAAGGTCAGTACTGTAGATAGGGAATGTGTATTCCTGTAATCAGAGATAATTGTATATTATATAAGCTCTTTTTTGAGCACAACGTTTCATTAGTGTAATGACAGTTCTATCAGCGTAACCAAGATCTAATTTTGGACAGACTTGATTTGCTGTTTTTTAATTCTTCTCTGCGCAGTTGATGAAGTTCATTGATTTTTATATGAACCAATGTGCTAAAGTGTGATTTAGTATTTAAAGTGAGGATGGTTTCCTCTAATAAGCTTACTGTCAGCAGTAGTAATCACTTGTCACATACCTTTTCTAATGCACTTTGATACAATTTTTTGATTCTTTCATTGTCCTAGCATCAGGCTAATAAATATGGCAAATTTATTTAGAGACTTTTATGTGTCGGAATGGTTAGGAAAAAACCTAGACAAATGTCAACAAATTCTTATGTTAGTTTGATAACTGATTTAGATGCAATTTCCAGTAGTGAACTAGTTATTTGCTGATTTTAAACTGCTACTGAGACATTTGCATTTTACAGAAGAGATGTAAAAATTAATTTTTTTTTCTTGCTAATGTGTCAGTAGTTTAAGAAAGATTTTTCCATTAATTTTTACCTGTGATGTAAAGTTGACTTTATGACTTTATAGTATTGGAGAGAAGTGGGAAATACTTTTTTTTTTTTTTTTCCCCTCCCTCCTGTTGGAGTTCATTTAAGCAAAAAAAACTCTAAGGCCTGGTTTATCTTGCATTATCTCCAGAAATGGAACTGTGTTCTTAAGGCAGTTGTTTAAGTCCTGCCTCCTGGCTGGCTGTAGGGTTTTAGTGACTGTGTATATGAAACCTTCTGTTACTTCACTGGGTCGGCAATTGCAGTCCTTATTTTTCCAGAACTTTTCTGCGACGGAACGCTTGCACCGTAATGATATCTGTTTCTGATTCAATGAAGAAATATAGTTGCATGTTACTCAGATGATACCACAACAATGGGTATGCATACCAGTGGTCTTCAGTGTTTATTCTAAATCACATGATTGTGATTGTTCTTATTCTAATACCTCACCTCTGTGTTTTAGCAACTGAAACATATGAAGCAGTGGTAGTTTTTTCTGCCTTGAACATGATAAGGAAGTCTGTCCTGGAAAGTTATAGTGTCTCTTAGAACTCTGAAGTGTTTATTTCATGTTCCTCTGTCTTCCAAACAGTGTGGCCAGTAGCCAGTTCAGTGCTAGAAGAGCCATTGTAAACTTTGTGGTGTTGGATTTTTTCCTTATAATGTAAATATACATGTAAATATACAGTGTAAACATACATTCTTGAATATATCATTAAATACATCTTAAGTGTAAACCTAAAGATTCCCTCTAATTTTGACATTGATTCAATATCAAAAGACAGTAGAAAGCTATTTCTGTCAGAATTTGACTTTCAAAGAGCCTTCCTTTTCACTCTAGCAATCTTTATAAACCAGAAAGGTGCAGGAAGAGAAGTCTGATCAGAAGATGGCTATGTAGTCACTTTACAGTATCCTTTTAGTTCATCTTAGGTATAATGAAAAAGACTTACCTTGAAGTAGTTGCGTGATCCTAGAAGCTAATCTCAATTTGCTGACTGTGTTAGTAAAGGTTGTTGTACAAAATACAGGTGCCTAAGACTGGTCATTTCAAAATTATTTCCCTTTCAGAGATCCTGAATTGCATTTTTAGCTTGTTTATCCATTTGGACTTAATGCATCTAAATTCAGCATTTTCCCCAATATATGCCGAACTAGCATTTCAGATCAGTATTTTATTTATAATTAGTGAACGTTATTGACTTACGAGTTTCAGATTGGAGCTTCAAAGTTAAAACTTCAAATTACCTGCTACGATGTTTTAGTCGTAATATGAATATACTGCAGAATTTCTTCTGCAGATATGCACAAAGCCATCTTCACAGAGCAGTGGGAAAAGTAGATGGAAAATTCTTGAATGAATCTAGGATAGAAAGTATAAAAAGTAAATATTATGGAAGTGTTGAAAACCTAACTCTACTACTTGAATAGTCTACTGTCTTGATCAAGTGTTGCATAGAAAGAAAAATGACAGCTGCTTGAGCGTTTTTTTTGGCTTGTTGCCTCCTGAGACAAATGTGATGCTGGCTGTATAGTTTTGCCTTAAGGCAAAAATCGTCTCTAACTGAGCTGGGAACTGACTACTGTAATGTATTTCTCCAGAGGGCGTGTGACCCAGAAATGTATCCAAAGTTGATGGCATTTTCAGAAAATGCTAAATACTGGTAGCTTTTTTAAAAAAAAAAACTTTATGTGGATTATTATTCTTGTCAATTATGTAAAGTTGACAAAGGGCTGATGTGATTTTGCTTACTATTTCTTAGCTTAGATTTTTACTTTTAATTAGATAATAAATGAGGTGTGTAAGTGTATAGACTTGTGTCTTTACAAGAAGGAGGGGAGAGGGCAAAGCACCTAATCTAAGAAGCCAAAGTAACAGAATAACAACATACAGTATTTTGATTCTAGAGCACATAAAGTTATGAACACAAATTTATTCTTACATATTTTAGAGGTGCCCAAAATGAGAGTTGTTGGACTTGTGCTGTATGGTTTGCATATCAAATTGAAATGAGTTATGACAAATAGATGTAATGCAAGATACTATTTAATACTGAGTGTACAATCTGTCTAGATGATTCACAAAAAATCACTTGACAAAAAATTACAATTTTTCATTAGAAAATAATTTTTCTTCTGAAAGACGCTGTCAACATGTTTGATTAGACCATGCCTTTCTTTGCAAGACGTAATTGGCTTACTGAATATTAGTTGGCAGTTGTTTATTAATGTGTGCTACAATTGAAGTATCCTCACCTATAAATTTATAGAGGTTTAAATTCGAAAAAAAAATAAAATTGCATACCCTGTATAGACTGGTGTTTTCTATCTCAATGTTAACACCGTTCTGAGAGACAATATAAATGCATAAATAAAAAAAATAAATACTCTACTGTGTCTGTATGTGACAAGAACATGATTCTTTGCTTAGACTGTAAAGAGAATTAATACTGCTTATTTGATTCCCTTCCCCCCTTGTTAACATTTTGCCATTCTTAAACTATTTTGCATTTCTTCCTGTCTGTAAACACTATGTGTGGTTTTATGCTTGGAAATTAGTACTTTTATGATAAATGCATATTTTGCTATAGAGATCCTCACGGCTGGTTACATTAGAGGTGGTATTGAGACTTGGCTGATTTGTCAAATACATTTTGATGTTACAGAATAATTCAGGATCACAGTAAGTAGCTTTCCTTCTCTTCTGGATAGCCTCAAATGCGTTTTCTGTTCTATGTAGTCTGGCATTTAGAGGTACAGAGCCAAACATATCAGAAGTGCATGTTTCTATAATGGTTGATATTGCTTCCTTTGAGGTAGCTTCAGAATTTTTGCAGAAGCTAAAATTCTGTTTACAGTATTGTCACTTGCTTGTCCTATTGCAAAGATGGCATAGTGATTAACAGCCATGATAATTAAGTTTAATGGATATAGGAGACACTAGGAAGTTCACTGTTCGTGGAATTTATGGTAAGAAGGTATTAAATACACAAGACTTGATATTTCATTTAGAAGGCTGCTAGTCAGAATGTTTCATTTACTTGACCTAAGTACCTGAAGCATACATGGAAGTTTTATTAAGCAGAAAGTGAGTCATTGCTCCAGAAATGATTTTGAGGGAAGAGTTTTAAGATGCACAGAAAGAAGATACAAGATGGAACAGTAAATAAGGAATATATAATGCTATTTGTACACCTTTAACAAACTTACTGCTTTCTTCTGCATCTGTCAAGTGTTATCTAATGGTAAATCCTATACAAATTTGCTATATGAAACCAAAGGCATAATTTTGGGGTCTATCTGTTTATATAAATAGAAGTACTGTATGTGCAGTGGAACAGAGTTCCACACATGTTCCTAATGACACAACAAACTGGCAAAGTACAGACAAATTAGAATTTAGATTATTTGAGTGGAGAACTTAAGAATTTTAGATCAATGGAAGAAAAAATCTTTTTTGAGAATAAGTAGAGAAGGGTGGAAGGAGGATACCTGTTGGAAAACACTTGGCTCTGGAAGTTTTGTACCTCGTGTCTGTTACTGATCAAGCTTTTATAATAATAACATGTGAATGTGTTTTTTCTGAGTATATTACTGTGTATAAGCTTGTCCCTGTTCTCCCCCCACCCAAGGGTGTTTTTTTTTTTTTAACTGTCTATGGAGAAAGAAAACTGGTACTCCATGTACAAAAACAATTATGCAACCCATTCCCCCTTTACGTGATAGGTTGAGTTTCAATGTAAGAATGCTTGCATCAGTGACCTTCTGCAGCATGAACTGCATTTTTAAGTTACCACTTACAGCCAGAAAACATGTCAGTGAGATGATTGTCTAATTGGCAGTATCCAGCTGGGAGAGAATAAGGACAGAACGTAATGTACAGAAGAATGCTTAACAATAATTAGTCCCAGGAGTGTAGCAAATATTAGTTTTAAGTGGAACTTGTAGTTTGTTTTGAAATAGTGGATAGATAATTTTGGTGAAAAGGAATGTAGAAGTTATTTTAAATAAGGGCAAAGCAATTCTGAATCACTGTTTTTTTCAGGTTATATGATGATATATTTGACAAAATAATGTCCTAAATTCCTATTCTTATTTTTAGTTTCAGTGTATTATCTGCAGAATTACTGTCCTCATATAAAACAAAAAAAAGTAGAATACTGTCATTAATACTTTACTCATGTAATTTTACTACTGTACTATATGGAGTATTAAAATTTTATTAAGAAATATCTCTAAAAGAATGTGATTTATAAACATCTACTTAGGAGCAGTTATTTTTCAGTTAAAGTACCTTTAATGTAGAATTGATAGACCTTCTTTGCACTCCAAATCAGAGTTCAGTAATTTTCTTAACGATTCATGAAACACTTAACTATGCAAGTCCTTTTCTAAAAGGAAAAGGACTTTATTAGTGCATGGTGTTAATATACTACTAGTAAAATATCAGATGATGTTAATTGCACTTTACTGAAAATTACAAATTAAAGTGTAGTATCTAACTCAGTACTTCTTGGCTAGAAAATAATTTGTTTTAACTACTAATAATCAACAAATGTGAAACGAGTGCCTATATTTAAAAAGAAATACTTCCATCTGTGCTTTTTTATTTAATGATTCATCATTATTATTCTTTGGGGATCAAAAATTTCTAGATGGGTCACTATTTTCCATATGTTCACAACAGTGATGATTAAATAAATTTTGCTTTGTGTTCCACTGCTGTACCAAGCAATTTTATTTCAGTGCCGCTGTAGATCTCTTTGGAGCATCCCAGTATTCACTGGGAATAGTTTAATTTAGTTTAGTTTGTTTTTAATTATTATGAATGAGAACAGGACAGACTTGTTTTTAATACAGTTTGCATACAAGCTCTGGGTATAATTCTGCTTTTAACATGTTGGAAATATGCAGTGTAATACTTTTAAGTACTTTACTACTGCTGTGACTTGAAACTAGTACTATTGGGACTATTGACCGTGTTCTAAGGGTACCTTGGCCAGTTAGGCAGAGAAATTTATGGAAACTTTCCTGGGCTTTTTTTTTTTCTTTCTTTTTTCTCTCATTAAAATAGAATTCTCACTTGTTTAAAAAGTTTTGGTTTTAGTTTCTTTGTACTAGGAGTTCTTTTTTATGAGGTGGTTGTAATGGATCTTCCTATAGGTACTCAGGAAAAATATTAAATTCTTAATATTGAGGGTTAGAATATAATTCACTTGAAATTAAAAAAAAATGTAATTAGTTTGTCAGAATAGCTATTTCATCTAGAAGAAGTATATTTTGACCAATCTTAAATGGATAGACATGGATTATATACCATTTAGAGCCAGTCCTTCCTCTCAACTAAATTAATGTTTATAACTCTTTACCAAGATAGTCGTACTGTCATAATGATAAATGACTTGCTAATAACACTTCAGACTTTTATGTAAGTGCTTGAAGGTGTTTGAATGCTTTCAGTGTGTTCAACGCTAAGGATCTTTTCTTTTTCTAGCAAGACCACATGACTTCTTTGATGCACAAACACTGGATGCTATAAGACATCGAGCCATCTGCTTTAACCTCTCAGCACATATAGAAAGTTTAGGAAAAGGCCACAGTGTTGTATTTCATAGTACTGTAAGTATTACATTATGCATTCTGTTTGTTACCTATGTGTCTGAAAAATCTAATACTTAAAATAGTTTCCTATTTTCCTCTTACTGGGGTAGGCATTTAATCAGAAAAAAATAACAGTAAGAGTGGGTCATTTTACAGTATTGATTTGCCCGTTCCTAGCAGTAAATTAATTTTTTTAAAGTAGTGTTAGTAGTTACTCTGTCTCACAAATTGAATGGCTTCCGGCATTTTCTGTCAGATACACTTGGGGAAGTATCTGATAGCAAGTGTATGATGCAGAAAAAGTTACAATTGTATCTTCTAAATAACAGTGCAATTCGTTTGGCATTTCTGTAATCTTGAGTCAATAGTGAATCACATGGCTAATTTATCACAAGGAATACTTTGAGGGTAATAGAATAATTGACTTTTAAGATGCTAATTTGAAATTCATGTTTATTCTTTCAGTTTAAAAGATGGAATCCTAAATAAAGGCATTGTTGCTCTTTTTTTTTTTTTTTTTTAATACCACCAAAATAGTAGCAGATTGTTAGAAGGAGACAAGTACCAGGTGGGCAGGAGCTCATTAGTCCTGTTTCCATATCCAGTTTTGTTAATTTCATTTCAGATTTTCTACAAAGCGTCTGTGGATAGGACTGACGTTAGCAATCATTTAGAAATGTTCAGAACAGGAGAAAAAGCGACCGTATTAAGTTGAGTATAGGAATCAGAATTTCAGAAAGGATTTTACGTTAGGTTCTCCTGATTTACATTAGGTTGTCCTGTTGCTCCTAATTTGGGAGATACAGGCATATATGAGGTAGAGATTTAAGGGATAGGACAATGCTTTGTATATTGCCAGCTTGCTCTATTCTGAACGTTTATCCAGGCAGACTCCCCAGTTGTGGAAGCCCATGTCTGTCTGTTGGAATAGTTCATAGGAAGATGGAAATAAAGTGAGGAATGAGCTCTAAACCTGTTAGAAATTAACTTGGAGAAAGCAATGCAAACCCTTTTAGCTTATTCAAACATGCGTCCCTAAGAGATAGTAGGGTGTTGATTAGATCTGAAGACATGAAATTGCTTAGACCACAGTTGCAGGAGAGGTTGTAGTGGCAAACTGTTCTAAGATTCCAGCCCCACACTGCAATGTGCTACCATGTTACTGTGATGTTGCAGTTGTGCACGGAGTCATGCTGGACATCAGATTTATTGATGAGACCTGGCCTAAAATACTCTTCAGAAAAATCCAGAATTCTCTGAAGCAGTCTTGTGGATCTACGCTATTATTCTAAGCTAATGATCAACTCAAATGCAAATACATTTTGCAACATTTTGTATAGCTTATCAGCATGAGGACATTGAATGCTGACTGGTTAAATAGTGTGATGCAGTTTGTGTGGTCCACCTTTAGATGAACAAAAAAGGGAAAAGATGTATAGTTCTCACAGGCATTAGTTGGGAAGGTGAAAAATGTAAAGATAAAATTGCCTTGATTCCTGAAAACTGCGGCAAGCGATGTAGAGTTTGGGAGGTCTTTTCTACGGCTTAAGAATAATGTCAGCACAATGTAATATTTTACCATATGGAAAAATTACCATCCTGAAGAATTTCTAAGCAGTTGCTGTATGTACCCTTTCACCTCCTATAAAAAAGACACTTCTTTCATATTTTTATATATATATATGTGTGTATATATATATGTATGTATCTGTACACACACACACACACACACATAATTTTATCATCAATGAAGCTTTATGCAAACATGTTTTGCTGTCCGTAGTTGACTTTTGGCTTTGTTATGTTTTTTTTTCTGCTAAATTTTTAATGGAATCAAATCCTTTGAATGTGATTTCTGTTGTAAAATTTTCCAGCTACTTAATTGACATATTGGCTAGATTGACTGACCTTGCTTTTTATACGTGATTTTTTTAGTACTTATGTTCAGGTTTCCTTGTAGTCTTCATTCACCTAGATACTTTGATTCTCTGTATTAAATTGGATATAGCACATCAAGCATTTTCCATTTAATATAAAGAGTAGATTTTACACTGTTTAAAAATGCAGCTCTTATGTTACCCTGTCTTTTTTTTTTCTGTTGAAGCTTTTTGAAATGAATGGGATTACCTCTCTTTAGAATATTTGAAAACTGAACTATTCTTCAGTATTTTTAGGTGTGTGGTTTTTTTTTTTTTTTTAACAAGTTTCAGCTTACCAGTTCTGTGTATGCATATCGCTTACATGTGCTTTAAAATCTTAAACCTTTGAAACTCGGCAAGTAAATAGTAGCATACCAGTTTTTTAGAGTGAATTTTTTCCATTTTCCAGAAGAGGTCAGCAGAATTCCACTTCTGATATCCAAGACAACTTTCAGTTGCATGTTTCCTGCACATAGAGGAATTCAAATCAAATTTTCTTTTGTTTCTAGGAACAGTGCATGAAATCGATAACATATAGTGAGACTTCTTTCGAATAAAGTCATACTGTACACACATTAACTGGTTCATTTTTTTTTTAAATGTAAAACTTAAATGGACTTAACAGTTCTTTACAAAATTATAATTTTAAATTATCAGAACATCATTGTTGCAGATATGCTAGATTTCTTCTATTTCAGATCTATTTTAGCAAACTTGGCTGTAAGGCTCTGATTGTCAGAATGACCATTCATTTTTTCAGTTGGCCCTTTCTGTCAGAGTTCATCGTAGCCATATTACTGTTTCCTAGGAAGGATAGAGTCAGAAATAGTTTCATGACACTGATTGTGATGAGTGAGTTGGATACTTTATATACCTTCTACAAAACTTCTTTAAATTTGAAGATTTGGAAATACCTGTGGGAAATGTTAATGGCAACTATAAAGGCAGACTTCTGTTGTCCCTCCTAAAGAAAAGCTAATGTACTACTTTAATGTTAGCATAAACATTCTTTTTAGCCTTTCATAGCCTTTATATATTAAATATGATTGGCTCTTTTGTTATGATAAACTAGATTTTTGATTCTCTGCTGTTTAAAAAGTTACTTTCTCCTCCTGTTAAGGTTCTTCCTTTCTCTATCACTGCTGTTAAAGTCTACAAAGAACAGAGCAATATATTAACATGTGTATGTGGGAAAGCTGGTTCAAGCCCTTGCTTTAGCACTAGTTGCTTTGTGCTGTTAATATGACTATAGAAAAAGAGAATGGTATTTGCAGTCATGTAATTCAGGCAGTACTTGAATTTCCCTAAATTTTATATACATCATTGTTTATTTAGTCTTTACAGATATCTGTCTTTTTCTTCTGGTGATGGAAAGACAGAAGAGTCTTGAGCTTTGTGCTATATATTCCTGAAAATGAAAAATTTTTATGTCTTGAGTTGTTAGTGGATCCATACTTTTTTCTGTAGGAGAATGCCAATGATGATTTTTGTGAGAATCGCCCCAATATCTATGGGATTCTGGAATTATCATGTGTTATATCGTAAATCCCAGTAGTAACTATAGTATTGATCATGTCATGGAAGGGGAGCAATCACAGCTCCAGCTGGTACTTGGGTGAAATATATATATATGTAACTTATATATCCTCTATGGTTTCCTATCCTATATGGTTGCCATATATTGTTTAAGTTTCAGATATGATGAAGAACAGCTTGTGGAGAATACTGACTTCCCTCTAATTGGGCTGTAGCTACTTCACTGTGTCCTAGTACAAAAGTTTTAAAAAGTCATCTATGAACTTTTCTACATGTGATAGCCATGATGCTTGTATTACATGAGCGATCGTATGTGTCTCCTTAAAACATGTAGATTACTTCTAGAAGGAACTAGTCAGTGCAGGAAAATGTATTTATTTTTGAATAAGAGAGCTGGTAAGAACTGAGCTTCATTCGGCCTGTAAAGTGAGTTCAGGCTTGTCTTCATCTGGTTCCAGGACTCAGGTGCTCCAATCTACAGCAAGGAAACTGAGTCTGCAGAAAAAGAGGCTGGATCCTGGGCAACTTAAAGGTGGAAGGGTTTGATGGAATCTTTCTAAATCTTTCTTTAAAAAGTAGTCAGGATTTTCATCCCTGCACCAGATTTAGCGAGAGGATGTATTCTGTTATGGGTATGGCTTGTGACTTATGAGGAAAGTAGTAGTGATATTTCGAGTGCCTAATATCAAAAGCAGATTTTATCACCTTACCTTTCACCCCTGCTTCCAGATGATTTATGAGTGCATGTTAAATGATAGATCCTAAAACTTATCCAAATTACAACTGGAACTTCCTTCTTTTTCAAGGGCTTCCCTTTTGTATACCTTGTTTCCTGCTTCTTTTACCTTATTAGGCTACTAGATGACTTTTTCCATATCTTGTGACAACTTGGTTTAAAAGCTTTTGGTGAGGGGCTTCAAAATTCTTTAAAAATTCAGTATCTCAAACACTTATTCCAGTTCTGATCTTTTGATCAGCATCCTGACACTTTCAGAGGTCACAAACGTATCGGGCCTGAATAGTTTTCTAAATGTATTAATAGTCAGACTATTAACTCTATGAACACTTTAACCTGTTTCTTTTTATTGGAGATGCAAAAATGTTGCATGGCTGTAATAACACTTCAAACAAAGATAGCATTTGAATTGGAGAACCCGACCAGTTCCAAGAGTTTCCAGAAGAATGGTTCATTTTAATTTGTGTTTGATCTTGATTTCAGACATTCTGACTTACCGTCTTGTTTAATTTGTGAACTCATTGAAATGTCGTGATTGAAGTTTAGTTTACTGTGATATTCGGTTGTGGGGTATTTCTTTGGTTAATGCAGAACATGGGCTTCAGCATTCTGTTCTGTATCCTAGATTTCAGTTTAGTCCTTTTTATGAAGATCACTTGCCATTCAGCGACATTTCTAAGCTTTTAAAATTTCTCTAAGTTTTTTTTTTGATTTTACAGTATCTACTCTGTCTATTCAGAGAAGCTTTGAAGGATTTGATAAACTTTATTTTCACAGAGGTGTGATAAGTAGGAGAATTGATGTTTGAAACATCTGAAAATCTTTGTGAAAAACCATATGAAGTGTTGTATCATGCACAATAAAGAAGCAGCTGAGGGTAGGTCCACAGAAGAGAAAGCCAGTGGCTTTTTCCTGTTTTTTTGGACACTATGAAATTTTTGGTCTATATTTTGAACACCAGCATTAGGGAAAATATATGTACCTGAATGAATGGAACACTAAAGTTATTTTAAATTAACCTATTTTGTGCACATGCTTCTAATTATGTGTATTTATATCTTTGCTGAAGGTGAGCCTAATTCCAAGGTCCTGCACCTAAAAATTTTATTCTCTATGAGGGTAACTTACACTCTGTTCTACTGTGAACTAAACTGAGAAATTGTTAAGAAAGTAGTTCTTATTTCTTGCCTGGAACCTCATTAGGGGAATACATATGTTTTACTTAAATACTGTAAGCTATATGCAGGTCTTCTGACACTTCACATGTCATTCATGTCATGACAGTATTAGCAGGTGTACTCTGCAGTTTTAGTTATGGTCTTTGTTATACACACATTAGACTATCTTTGTGAGCCTCTGGGTTCTTCCAAGTAGCCTTTGCCTCGTTCAGTGCTTTGTTTTAAGATGTTGAAAGGGAACAAATAATGGTTACTTAGGAAGTTATACATGTAACGTTTCCAAATGTCAAAGCATTTGTGAGAGAGGTTTTTCTTCTTGTGTAATACTGGAATTCAATTTTGAGTTGCATCAGTCTGACATTTTCTGCAGATGTCTTTCCAAACAGCATGAGCATATTTGTAGAAGACACTTGTAAACCTTATTCAAGAATGTATGCACTTCAAAGTTTTTGGAGAAACTGCTTATAAAAGTTTTAGCTGTTACGAGAGAGAAAAGACTACTATATACAAGATGCGTGCGCATTTTTTCAAGGGACCATTTAGTAGACAAATATTAAAGGAAATTTTAAATGAAAATATTAAACCTTGCCAAGAGTGGTTTGAGTAGTGATACATGCATTCTGCCTATGTATAGAGTTAATGCAATTTTCAAAGGGTAGAACAGTTTGCATTTTATGGTCTTCCAGTTGAACGTGAAGAGCAACAGTTATTTGAGAAAAAAATCGGCAGATTTGGTTTTAATTACAATTTCTATAATTATTGTCAGGTAATAGCGAAAAGAAAAGAAGATTCTGGAAAAATAAAACTCTTGCTTCATTGGACACCAGAGGACATGTGAGTATATTGCTAGTGATACAATATAGCATTTAAATGGGGAAGAATTTACAGTGGGTAAATGTGCTATCTTTCACTAAAATATGCTGTGCCTTCCTGTTAAATTATATTTTATGCTTAACTTTTTTTTTAGTGGTTTAGAACTTTAAAAAATAATAAGCAACCTTTTTCTACTTTCAATTGATTTTACGTTGGCTACCAAGTCTGTAAACTCTGTCACTCCCTGTTCAGGTAAACTTTAAGCTGTATTTTTGCTGCATTTTGTCACTGTGGATATTAGTAGAAAGATCTACTTATTGAATGGAGGATTCAGGTTGGTTTTGCTGGCCATAGACATAAGGAAACGTATCATCGAGGCAATTATTTTTCCTACTGATTCGTCATGATTCTGAAATATTTTTAGGCACTGAACTATCGGCAGCATTGTTATGATCAAATGACAAGAAGCCTTGCATAGGTGCCATAATTTAACAGTAGAAATCCCACAGTTAATGCTTTAAAGTGTCTATCTCATATTGCTGCTTCTTTGCATTCTCTCACTGAAGTTTGGAATACTCTTCCAACGTGCTTGATTGCTTTTTCTCTCGGTTTGTCAAAGTTCTGTCCTATTCCAAATGAGTAACTTCATATGTAATGATGAAGGTATTGCCCTGAGGTTGACTTGGGACATAAGCAGTAGCAAGGGACAGATACTTTAAAAATAATTCGTCCACTTCACTGAATATAGCTGAGATCTTGTTTCTCTCTGTCACCTGAATAAGAAAAGAGTTTATATGCAAATATTAAGATCTTAATTATATGGAGAAGTAGAATAAATTTTTGGTTTCCACTTTATCCTAACGTTATTAGAAGTCCAATAGGAAAGTAGTTTAGCAAGTGTTGTGTGATCCATGTTTTCTACAAGTTTTAAGGGAATTATCTACTTTTTCTTCTAAAGGTAAGTAGAATTATAATAGATATTCATTCTTGGGTCTGTGGTCCTACATACAGCTGAAAGTTGTGGGGATATTAAGCTCAGACACAAAGCTAAACAGCTGCATAATTAGGCAGGACATGTAAATTTAGAGGTTCTTTAAAGTAACCTTGCTTTTACTAGAAAGAGATCTCTAGCTTGGTAGAATTCATTAGATAAAAATATCTGAGTTTCAGGAAAAATACTATTGGATTTTTCTGCACAGAAAATAATTGTACAAGATAAATACTCGTAGTTTGTCCAATTACCTTTTAAAACTGGAGAACCTTTTAGATTAAGTGTTACCATTTAAGTGTTTGAATGGGGAAGGTGATGCAAAGCCTTAGTGTAATAGAACTCTGATACCTCTTGCTTTGGTGAAGTGGTTTAAATTACTAAGTTTTGTAGTGTCCTTAAATTAGTCATGTGGAGTAGCGTGAACTCAGCAGTGTGAATCTATTGTAACTTCTGCCTGCAGAGGACCAAGATTGCTGGTAAGTGATCTGCAGGGATGTTTGGCTTTTTGGTGAGATTTTAAAGGGTCTGTAGCTGTTTCCTGTCCCCAAGGTTCAGTCAAACTTGAGAGGGGCTTAGTAAAATATTCTAGTAAAATGTGTAGTTTTTTGCTGCCTTTTAGGACAGGTGATAATACTGCATGTAATTATTTTGAAATTATTCTTACTAAAATTCTACAGATAAAGACTGCTAATTGTCTCTTAAAAGGTTTAAACATAAAACACTCTGGAAACATCAGAGGTAAATTGAAATTTTCAAAGTACTATTTTTTTCTAATATAAAGTCAACTCAGTGTTTTGCTCGTGCAGATGAATGCAATTTTAGAACCTCTACATTGGAGAAGACAACTTATTCAGTGATGTTAGGCATCCCTCATAGACCCTGTAGGTGCTGGTTAGACAGTTTAAAGGATTAACAGGTTTTATATTGATATTACTTGGTTTTTGGTAGGGTTAGTTAGAGGCTGTATTTCCTGTACTGAATGATTTAGTTTTGAACTACTGAGTATTCAGTAGATTCCTTTTCATCTTGACCATTACAGTTAAAATCAGTAGATAAAATGTATCATTGTTCATGTTATCCATCTGTCTTACAGAATGAAGGTACTCGCGCTTTAGAAAACTTGAATGCATTCATGGTTATTTTCCGTTGTGCTGAGCTGTTCATCGGTCTTGCAGATGCAGTAATAGTGATTTTGCTTTTTCTGTTCTGAGTCATTTTGAGAAACTGTTAAACTACGCCGTTTTTGGTAGATTAAATCCTTCTTCGGGAAAAGTATATATCAGTCCAGAGAAGAACTTATGTCCCAAGAAAGCAGGAAAGAACTTTTTTTTAGGGGGAATATTTATTCTCTTTGAACTTTTCATGCAAGTACTACCTTTACTGAGTTGCTGTCTTTGTCTGTAGAGGATTTTCTTTGTTGTTTGTATCTTTTTGCATCCTCAGCATGTAACTTCTATTCCAGATGTTTTCCAAATATTTTTTTGAAATTTTCTACCACATATGATTTCTGAAAAAATTAATTTCCACATTATTAAGAAAAGTTTTATAGATTCACATTCATGTGAAAAGGTGAAAGAGTATTCTTGCAGAAACTTCCATTTCTTACCAGGATAGAAGTTCTCTGTTTCATTTCATTTTTAGGAGGCTTAACCAAAAAATTTTAATTTGAGCTAGAGCTGACTTTTATTTCTGAAAAATAGATTGTTTCAGTTGAATAATTTGCAAAAATTTATAAAATTTGCCTGTAGCTTTGGTCAGAAAAATGCTTTTTCATTTAGGCAGTTTTGAAAAATGTTAGGCTCCTCAATTTGAAATTTATTTCAAAACATTTTAACTACCGGTTAACTTTTTTTTCCAACCTGAAATGAATTTTTGGCTCCCAGGTAATTTAAAATATTCGTTTCATATGGACTCAAAATAATGTCATTTTTCCACTAGTGGAAGCAGACTGATTCACTTGTTTGTTTTGCCCAGCCTCAGTCAGTGCCTGTTCTTGGAAAGAGGCAAAAAGCAGCTTTTTATAAAGGCATTCAAGACTTCCGTATGCCCAGTGCCCCTTTTAACAACATGTCACCAGCGTAAAGGTGTTAACCTTATCAGAACCTTAAAAACCCAATTTGTTTTTGGTAGAAGCAGCTACAGTGCAACAAGCCACTCTGAAGTAGACATTTGGTTTCAAAGTGTTTAAGTACAAAATGCAGACTGGTGTGCGTTATCACTAGCCCTCCTCCCTAAGTTCCACTGCAAGTGGCACTGAAACGACATTTCTCTTTAATGTGTAATGACTTGAGTTTTATTCTGTCTCACAATGAGAAACAGGAACATAACTGAAATATTTTACCATGTTTATCCGAATTTCCTCAGAAGATAATTGAACGATTAACTTCAGCAAAGTTGGAGCATTTTGACATTAAGCACTTAAAGCTTTGAACATACAGAGCAAGCAAATCTTTCTAGCCTGATGTTCAGTGCCTGCAATATTCTAGCCTTCACTTGTCTCCTCTTTGACAACACAAACAATTTTACGTCCAATATCCAACAGTCTGTTTTCAAAGATCTGTTTTTTCCTATTACCCGTTCTCACATTAAACTACTAAAATGGAGACTATAATGCCAGTATCACTGTATTTTTGGTTTAGTACCTTCTGGAATAGCTTTAATTCTGTTTAGTATCTCTTTCACACTGAGAACTTGAAAGGCTTGGAAGTATAGTGTGTAAAGATTGGCTTTCCTTTCCTCGCTCCAGTGAAGATGCTTTTTAACCAGTGAAATGTGAAGATGACATTTAGAAACTTCATATGTACTAGTTTACCACATAATTTTATGGTAAGAAAAAGGGTTGATCTTTTTTGAATATTTTTATTTTATTTATTTATTCATAGTCTGCCTGATGTGTGGGTAAATGAAAGTGAGCGACATCAATTAAAAACTAAAGTAGTTCATTTATCAAAACTACCAAAAGATACTGCCTTGCTTCTGGACCCAAACATATACAGGTAATGTCCTAATTTTGAAACTTTCCTTATTTAAATACGGTCTTAAGCCTCACTTAACTTTTTGACGTTGGAAAATCAGGATTATTAATGGATTATACATCAGAACAGGGAGCCTTGATCCTGTCAGCGTCCAGTAGTTAAGTTCTGAGGTCTTAAGTCATTTCAGAATTACTTAACTTCTTGAACTGAACTCTAGTTACTGAGAAACGGGGAATGTGTGTATTTACCAAGTGTATTTTACTTTTTTGTGCTTGGTGTACAGAAATTCTAGTAAAGGAGGTACATACAGTGGAATCCTGAAAGATCACTTCTGTTAAGATCACATACTGGTTTGTATACCAATTTTTTTAAAGTCCAAATTTATCTTTACATACTTTATATTCAGCTGTAATACATGCAGTATTACTTTGAAATCTGTACTTGTTTGCAAGTACTGTTTTTTTTTTTTTAATACAAGATTCATTAGAGGGGGACAAAAGGGGACAGTACATGTCACATGTCTTTAAGCTGCATTCACATTTGTGTTTTTAGGATTTCAGATTGGCTTCTAATCCATCTTGTTTCTAATAATTTCCTGATTTTTTTTTCCTGCCTCTGTATTAGTGTTCTTACGTAATTGTTGGTACCCACAGTTGTATGTGTGTACAGTTCTTAAAGGTAATCTGAAATGCTTCATTCTCTTTAATTTTTTGAAGGTCTGAAGATGTTAACAGAATGTAATTATAGGCTTATTTTAAAATGCTTGAAAATGGAGGGGGAAAAAAAATGTTTTTCAGTCATGACTATAGTTCAGTGTTCTTATGTTTCTTCCTTAACATCTGATGACCTAGTGTCATGGAACACTAATTTGAGGTCTTGATATGTAATAAGCCTTTCAGTTCACCTTTAATATTCAGTGTATTTCACTAATCAAATTAATGAAAACTTGATTTACAATACAAAAATAAATCATTATGCTAAATGTGTGCTGTCTTTGTGAATGTAAGTATTTAAAATACTTACTTTAATATTAATTATTGATGGGAACAGTAATTCGTGAAAATGTCACAAGGAAAATGGATTGTGTATTTTTAAAACGGTTTAAACACAGTGGCTGTTTTATAACCCAATTTAGGTACTAATTGCCTTTATATTGATTACCTTTGCGGAACTGCATAGATTGGTTTCATTAGAAAATGATAAAATAACCTTTTAAAATAAAACTGTAATGATTTTGGAGATGAAATCCTTAGGGGGAAAAAATGAGCCACCCTTTCTTCCACTCAAAATAAAATTAAAGTGCCTTCACATAATTTGCTATTTCACATTTTTAGCAGTATAGATCAGTATGTGATTAAAAAGAGCTTTAGGGTCAGCTGTAGGTGAGATCAAAGGAATAAAGGTGAAGACCAAAACTTTGCATAAGGAAAAAGTGACTAAGAGAATTCAGACACAACTGTTGATGTTACGATAAAATGATGACTCCAATAGGCAGTTTGAAATAATGAATTATTGTCTGTAATGTATGCTAATTTGGGATCACCTGAAGTGGCTTTAACGTTTAATCAAATTAAATGAAAGTATATTGTGTAATGTCATGATTTCGTAATACACTTTAGCTGTCTCAGACTTTTCTTTCAGGATCTTTATGTAAAACTGTGCTATCTTCTTTTACAGAACAATGCCCCAGAAGAGGTTGAAGAGGTAAAAACCAAGCAAGTGGGGACATCTGCAGTCTTAGTCACTGACAATGGATTTAGAAATAAAGTTGCACATTAGTCCAATCCCATCCTTTTTTTTTTTTTCTTAGATAAATATTTATGCTTAGTGTAAACATTCTGTGAATGAAGTTGATGCTTCCGTGGAATATATTAATATATTGCTGTATATCCACATTTTCATGGAATGGTACAGTGGGAGACTGAGCAAACACTCTTCTGGCAACTTAGTGGAACAACTAAAAGGCTTTGCATGCTTGCTTCTTTAAGCTGCTTTTTTCTTTAGTGAATACAGTAGTTTATATTTGATGAAAAGAAAAAGTAACCATCACCATTTACTCACAATTCCCACAAGAACTGTTAACAAGCTATTGGGTTTCTTCTCTATTAACACATGCCAAACAGTAAAACAGCTGCCAAGGGATTATCTTGTTACCCTTTTCACTATGGTGGATAGTAATCATTTGTCATTTGTAACCTCGTGTCTTTTGCAAATCTCTAAAATATGTTGAATTATAATATTTAAACAAATGTTGATGGAATGCTTGTCTTTTCCAATCAACTATGAATACATGTAGTACGGTTTAAAGATGTTAAGAGTGTTGCAGTATGTCTGACCCCTTTTTCAGGAGTAGTATAGTATGTTAATGAGATCTACTTTTATGTGATCTATATCAATGAACGGTTTTTGAAAAACCTCTACTTAAGCAATTAGTGTTATTGGTGTTTTATTTTACTTTTTTGACCCTTTAGGATCCCCATTCACTTGTAAAGTATACTTTTTTTTATTTGGCCTAATGTTTTCGAGATGTAAAGAAAATGGTATTTTTAAAAAAAAATCTAGAAATTCAATCCTTTATGCACCAAAGTTGGCTTTGAAAAGGAAAGTAAAATCATATTCTTGCTTAATAAGCAAGAAGCCATGGATTTTTTTAACTGACAAATAGAGATGTGTCTAACCTGTTAGTCTTTGTATGGAGACAAAAATGTTGCATATAGAGAATAGGACATTGCTTGTAAATATTTCAGCAGATTTGTAATATATTTTTATATCATGAAATGTACTGTAGATGTTTTTCTAGAGGCATGAAAGTTAAAATGTATATATTATGGTAGAAATAATATTGAAGGATATTGTAATTCACTAGTGCTGCCAGAAGAATTGTTTAAAAAAGCACCTTCCTTAACAATAAAAAAACCCCTTCTTTTACATACCTAAGGGACTATATACTACTGTTAATATCTGTTATAAGAACAAAAATGCATTGAACATCCTTCCCAGAAATCTTAGGGGGATGAATAGTACCCATAATTAATTCATGGCGCTCCTTTCTAATAGTGAACATGAAATTAGTTTTTTCCTTGATCTTGGAAGGAACTAATATGTAAAATTTGTATGGATATATGCAGTCAAACTGCAGAATTAGTCCTCCTTATTGGGGAGGAATTTACTACAGTGAATCTAATAACCAGCAGTTTTTACACTAAATTTTTATTAAATAGAATAAAACTTAGAAGTAACCCTTTGGTTGCAGAAGTGAGCATATCCTAATATAATACAAATGCGTTCTGCATTGGTACTGACACGAGAGCCTTGCTTAACTCCAGTGGGTTAAAATGTTACTTATATACATGAAAAAAATCTTATCAAACAAAATGAAGTGGGGAATGAAGCACCACTAATATAAGATGTTCTGGAATGGTTGTTTAATAAGGGTATTATTCATAAAATATGTAGTGATGTGACTTTATTTTTGAAAAAAATGCAGTGTTTTTGTTTTGTTTTGTTTTTTTTGCTTGAGCACTTCACCTACTGCTTTTTCTGTACCTATAAAGTAATCCGCAATCTTTCTTTTTTGAATTTGTTATAAAATTGCCAAATAGAAGTGTTTCAGATATAGTTTGTATTTGTATTTTTTTAATTTTATTGCTTCCTGAGTTTCTTGTAAGTCATTTATAATTGACAGATGATTGTAGACCTTGCCTGAGTATTTTTTCTAATAAAACAAAGCAAACAACCTCGTATTAGCTTCAAAATTGTAAGTTTTCAATGAAAATTTCAGAAGTAAATATAAAAATGTCACTATCTCTTTATTTCCTCTGAATATAGTGAAATGCGTATCTTTACATAATTGGCAGTCCATGGATTCAGGTCATGTATTGTTCATGTAACCTGTGACCTTTTTTCCTTGGGTTTGAAAAAAATGACCTGAAGTCCTCATAATACAACCTCTGTCTTAGAAGGAAAAAATCAATTTAAAATCAGAGCATATGGGAACACATTGATATGTTAGGATTAAATTAAATTTTCCCTAGCAGTCAAAAGGTAAGTGACTTTTTATCCTTTTTTTTTTTTTTTTTAACTTGAAGAAAGTTATCCAAATGAATTAATAAAACCATGTATGCTTTAAAAGTTGTTTATATTCTAGAAATTAGGTAATTACTTGATAGTTTTGTTTCAGATGGCAGTCATTTATCACTAAAGGTATGCTGTGCTTTTTTTGTGGTGAATTCCAGTTTTGATAGAATACCAGACATGTGGAATTGGCCTAGAATGCCAAGGAGTTTGTCGCTTTCTTCTGAAAAAATTTTTCCTTATTACTTGCTGTTATTCTTGAAAAGTGTTGTGAAATTTTTGCTTTTCCAAGTTTTGAGTAGTCCCAGCTTCTTTCTGGGTATAACAGAGAGGTTTCTCTCTGTATTTCTCAATAAATTGTTTTGAAGTATGTTCTCCAAATACCCACAGAATGGATTCCCTCCCAGTTGCAGTGTTTGTTTTCTTTGTAGAAAGTGATCAGGATAAACCTATAGTTATTTTACTCTTTACTGCAGTCTGTTTCCAAGCTAGTTTAATAACTAGTTTACGAATTCATACATTCATGTGTTTTCTTTAATACATATAGCAGAAGGTAAGCGAAAGAAAATGGCCGATTGTACTGTTGAAATTAAATCATGGCAAAATTATCATTTAATTTAAGATTTTTATTTTCCTGTGCTCATTGAGCATGACACTGTGTCACTTGGTCTTAAGGCATTATTGTTTAAGATTATAAATTTTTAAGCTATATTTTATTGTAAATGTTTTAATAAACATACTTGATGGCATTTGAATTTTAAATTAAATATTGTAGTGTTATAGAGAATAATGAAATTTATTTATAAAAGCTTTTCAAAGTGAAAATTACCATAATAAAGGTATCTGGTATTTTCTATATCTCTTTTAATTAGTAAATTCAAGGGGGCATAAACTATATTCTGATTTGGGTAGAGATTTTCTTAGTTTCATCATGCGTTTCAGGGCTTCCTTCCTTAGGATCAAAAGCATCTTGTTCTTATCTTTTACAATCTATAAGGTGTCTGAGTGATGTACAGCTTCGACTGATCTGAGCTGTGCTTGCAGAGATTTGGGACATCTTTGCTTCATTCTGTTGGTTCTCTGCTATCTTAATCTGTGTTAGTTTCTAGGCCATGTCGTGGGGGAAGGGGGAATTGGAAGAAGTGTGGGATAAAGAGAAGGTCCTGAAGCAACTTAAATTTGAACGATGTTATCAATTTTGGTAAGCTCAGTTTAAATACTTGCTGAACTACTGAAATATTCTTAACAAAATGGGGAGGACTAAGAGGGAAAAGTTGTGGAAACAAAATGAAGGCCAAAAGAGAAGCCAGTTCTGCCAAAACACATCAAGGAATTAGTTGCCAATCCAATTTGTTCCTTCTGCCTCTCTTCTAGAGGTCTTTTCAGGAGGGGGTTGAATAAGCCCTTGCAACATTATAGGTTGAGTGAGATGACTGAGTGACAGGTTACCAGTTCTACTGAGAGGTACCTGAGGATTCCAATGGAAGCAAGCTAAACGTGAATCAGCAGAGCACTATGGCAGCCACGAAGCCTGATACAGTATCCTAGGCTGTAGATTGAGAGAAGAGATAGTTTCCCTTTGCTGGGCAATCATTAGACCACATCCACAATATAACATCTGCTTTTGGAGCCCCCAGTACAAGGAAGATGCTTCTAAACTTAAGTGAATTCAGCAGAAGGCCACCAAGGTGGTCAGGGGCCTGGAGTTTGTGGTCAATGAGAAGAGGCTGAGGCAACTGGACAAGTTCATCCTGCAGAAGAAAAGGCTTTGGGGGAACCTAGCAGCTGCCTTTCAGTACCTAAGAGCCTGGCTCCACCTTCTTGAAAATTTCTTTAGGGTCACAGAGCATGAGGGTCAGTGGTCATAAACTGAAATGGGAGTGTGTTGTTTTTTTTTTTTTTTTTTTTTTTTACGATGAGGACACTCAAACATTGAAACATTACTTCAAGAGGTGGTGACATCTCTGTCTTTGGAGGTTTTCAAGCCGCAGGCAAAGCCTTGAGCAAGCTGGTCAAAATTCAGTTTTGTTCATGTTGCACTGAGCAGGAGGTTGGAGTAGAAGCCCTTCTGAGGTCCCGCCTGACCAGAATTATTCTGCACTTCGTGATTCAGAACTACGTAGGGTTTTTATCCCAGCCCATACTCCTAGCGAGACAGTTTAGATTATTATAGCAAGTTGTTCATAGTGATGACGGCTGCAGTTGTTTGAACTGAACACTGACCAGCTGGGGCAGTAAGTTGGGCCTAGGGTTTTAGTTGAGGTTTGTTTTGGCATACAATGTACTTGAATTCCGCTGGCTGGAACTGAGCTTGGTAAGCTGATCTGAACTTCTATGCTTGAACTTGTAGACTGTGATGTGCTGCTTAGATGAACTTGCTTTCCACTGGTAATAAAAGGATGATTTGTAAGGCAGCACTGCTCATGATTGAATCAGGAGGCATGCAGGAAATAGATGATGAGAGTTAACACTTTTATGTTGGGGGTAGAAGCTTTGCGAACTTCTGTGTATAACACATTTACACTTTCTGAATTTGTCCCTATGGTTTTTTGACTTGCAGTCTGGATTTGAGGACCTATGTTCAAGTTTGCAGCAATGGGAAAAGAAATGCAAGTGGCTGATTTTTATTCCTTACATTTCTTCAGCGCAAAATGCGACTCTGTTATTGTAGAAAGCCAATTTTAATACTTCAGGCTGAAGTTGATGCGGTATCCTCCCCTAATGTTTTCTTGCCTGGGCATTTTATGTTTGCCTATGAACCTAATCATAAGTATTTTTTTTCTCACTTTAATGTATGACAAGTAGGACAGGAAAAAAAATCTCATCAGGGAAGTCTGCTTTTAAAAAAGAAGATAACTGAATCATGGTTTCTCTCAGCCATTTTCTATAAGTTAAATAAATATTCTGTGAATGGCTTCTATATGCACACAGCTTTGAAAGTGAAATCAAACAGTTTGATCCCTACCACAAAATATATTAAACAAAATATTCCAGCAACAGAAGATGGTCTTAGTATCACACAGATTTTCTTAGGTAAGGATATCCTTAGGTCTTTTAATTATCCTGATATTTACTCATTGTAAGCAAAAAGTGCACTTTGGTGAATTATGTTACATTTTATAATGAAAATTTCTGAAGTACGTATTTGGAAAAAACCTGCGTTGTTTGTTTTTGTTTGAGCAATATGATGGGAAAAAGTTGTTTAAAAATCAAGAATGTCCACTTATTTTTGTATTTTCAATAACCCTTTTTTCTAAAACATTCTGTTTGCTTGCAAGCACACAGAATGAGCTGAAGTAAGGCTAACAGAAAGAATAGTTATACCATAATCATTAGAAGACTACAGCTGTATTAATGACTAGTCAGTGTTCCTAAGTATAAATGCTAGAGCTGAATCTCCCAAAGTATGCTAATGAGAAGAATGCTTACAGTGCTGGAGCATTTTATTATTGTAATTTTCATTATAGCATTTTTCTAACAGATCATGAACTAAAATCTTACCAACAATAAACCCCATAATCCCTGAGGATTAGGATACTTTTCACCATTTATTCTGTTACGTTTCCTTGAACGTAGTTGACAAAATAGAGATAATGAATGGATTTAGTTACGCTAGCAACTCTCAGATTATCTCCTGGAGGGGAAAAAGAGGCTTATTTTTTGTGTTTAAAACAGAGCTTGGCTCCCAGGAAACAGGGGCCATGGATTTTTGTCTTTCTGGGTGGGAAACTGTGATGATGAGTGTAAACCAGTGTTGCATCCTATATCTTGGGCTGTTTGGCTAGAAGTGGCAACACTGACAATCTGCTTTCCTGCTTGTATACACCAACTGTCCTTGCAGTGAAAAATTCTCCCCAGACTCTGTGTCCAGCTGTCCTAGTTTTTATACTACCACAATAATCTACAGAGTATGTATTACTTTGGGCTCTGACCTAATTTCATCAAACTTCCTATGTAATCTAAGAAATGACTGCTTTTCATTTTTCTTTAAATTAAGAAAATATATCTCTGTTTACCTCTTAAGCCAATTGGTTACATTTCAAGGATTACAAAACATTATATTTTCTGTCCAGTCTTTTTTCTACACTAAGCTGCCTGGCCTGCAGTATTTTCCATGCTCATACATTTACACTGTATTGTAGCCAGTACAGAGGAGACTGAAGTAAAGTTCCGAGTGTACCTGTAATTCTTGCCTGCCCTTATTTTTGAAAACTTGTCTGGTAACCTCATCTTAAGGTACTCTTAGCTGTAATTTGTTAAAGGATTTTAAAATACCATACCCAATTCCAATATATAGCATTTTACCATAATCTGCAAGGGTGACAGCAGGGTTGGAAAGTGTAATATCATTGTGCTGAGCAGTACTATTGGAGCCAAGAGAGTAACTGAGACCAATAGCGGATGTTACCTTTGATGCAGACCATCTTTGATGCAAGAGGGGAGGAGTGAGACACTACTTCAGAATTTGATGTCTGTTGATGAGTGATGAGACTTAGGAATACTGGGCTTGGTTCTAGGCTGGATGGAACCATGATCTAGATTTCTGCTCTGCGATTCTGCATAATTCTGTGTACTGTTTTCCAGTATTTTAAACTAAGGGGACAAGAAAAATATCATTCTGTTACAGCCAGTGCTACTTTTCACTGCCCGGGCACAGGATTTTTACA